TAAGGAATGGCGCCATTATTTGGAGGGTAATCCTAATCGATTGGACGTCATTGTGTATTCTGATCACAAGAATCTTGAGTCTTTCATGACTACAAAGCAACTGACACGACGTCAAGCTCGATGGGCTGAAACATTAGGATGTTTCGACTTTGAAATTAGGTTCAGACCCGGAAAACAGTCAGAAAAACCAGACGCATTATCCCGACGGCCGGATTTGAAACCCACAGTGGAGGAGAAATTGACGTTTGGACAATTGTTGAAACCTTCAAATTTGAGGGAAGATACTTTTGTTGATGAAATCGAGATTGATTCATTTGAATTGCTTTTTGAAGACGAAGTAGGAGGCAGAGATTTTGAGGACTACTTCGAGGACGAAAACATCATGGAAATAAATGCTTTGGAATCAAACACGGAAAAGAATGCGGTTTGGAGTGACGAGTCAATTTTGGATGTGTTAAGGAAGTGCCTTAAGGACGATGGAAAACTTCAAGATATGATGAAATCAATTGAATTGAGAAGTGTAAAGGAAACTGAATCACCACATGATTATGACACTAATGACGGTCTTTTGTACTTCCGGAAACGAGTGGTTGTTCCACAGGATGACAAATTGAAGTTCGAAATAGTGCGTTCTCGTCACGACAGCAAATTAGCTGGTCACCCAGGTCAAGCAAGGACACTATCACTGGTTGAACGAGAATTCTATTGGCCGTCAATGAAAAAGTACATCAATAGATATGTCGATGGATGTGCATCGTGCCAAAGGGTAAAGTCAAGAAACTCAAAACTCTTCGGTGCTTTACAACCTTTGCCAGTTCCTGCGGGACCGTGGACGGATATTTGTATGGATTTGATCACAGACTTGCCAATATCAGAAGGCAAAGATTCTATTTTAATGGTCGTGGATAGACTAACTAAAATGGGTCATTTCATTGCATGCAGGAAAGACATGGACTCGAGTGAATTAGCAAGACTATTGATTGATAATGTTTGGAAGTTGCATGGAACGCCAAAGAGTATAGTGTCTGACAGAGGATCCATTTTCGTAGGAAGGATTACGAGAGAATTGAATTCCCAATTAGGCATTGCAACTAAACCGTCGACGGCGTACCATCCGCAAACAGATGGTCAATCAGAGGTGTCAAATCGCAGTGCGGAAGGTTACATCAGGCATTTTGCGAACTACGCGCAAGATAACTGGGTAAAGAATCTTTCTACGTTTGAGTTTGCTTACAACAATTTGGATCATACTTCAATAGGCATGTCTCCATTCAAGAGTAACTATGGTTACAATTTGAATTTGTCAAGGACGATTGGCAGTGAGAGGTGTGTGCCTGTGGTGGAAGAAAGATTGAAACAATTGGAAGAAGTGCAAGACGAGGTGAAAGCTTATATGAAAAGAAGTCAGGAAATTATGAAGCGAAATTATGATCAAAATGTTCGGGAAGAAGAAGTTTGGGAGCCAGGAACTAAAGTGTGGCTCAAAAGCAAGAATATTTCAACGACAAGACCAACGGCAAAATTTTCGCACTGGTGGCTTGGACCTTTTGTTATCAAAGAAAGGATCTCGAGTGTTGCTTACAAATTGTCGTTACCTTTGTCAATGAAAAACTTACATCCTGTTTTTCACGTTTCTTTGTTGAGGAGGTATGAAACAGATACGATTGAAGAAAGAAAAGAAGCAACACCAGAACAAATTGTTTTAGAAGGAGTTGAGGAATTCGAAGTTGAAGAAATTTTAGATTGCAGAAGAAGAAGAGGCCAATTGGAGTTTTTGTTGAGTTGGAAAGGTTATGGACCAGAAGAAGATTCATGGGAAAAAGAAGAATCACTCATCAATGCGCAAGAAATGTTGAAGGAATTTAAATTAAATTATCCTAATGCTGAAAAGGGTTATAAAAGGACGAGGAGAAAGAGTTGAGAGGATCGTGCTTTTTCCCTGAAAGTGAGGGTTTTTTATTGCTGATCCGTGGAGAGAATGCAGAGCCTCAAGAGGAGCTTGGGCATTAAAGGGGGAGTAATGTTATGATCTCATTTTGGATCATTCTATAAGGCTATGCTTATACCTGTAAAGCCTGTTCTTATATACGTTGTTCTACGTCACTACTGTTGTACCTTTCTCTTCATGGTACAATCTATTCATTAGACCTCATCATCATCATCGACACAACCCCCAAGAGACAACCCCAATCCCTTACGCCCAATAGAGCTAGTCTCTGTACGTATAGACCATCTAGATCATATCAATTGCTCATTCAGTATATCAGTTTGTATGAACAGATGACTAATCAATCTTGGATTGATTATGCAAAACCATTTCGTTCCAAATCCAAAAACAAGGAGTAGTTGCAGTTTGTATTCAGACAACATTTGTTTGTTTTACATCTTTCTTTTGGTTGTTCACTCATCTCACCACTATAGGAGACATATCGATTATTTTCAGTGAATTAATGACTCAATGAGTTGATAAAAAACCATTCATACAAAGATGATCATGCATTTCATCGGGGACCAAAGATTCCTCAGACTACAAGTATTGTTTATACAGGATATCAGTGAGAAGGCTTACCATATCTGCTTAATTGATCGTATTCTTCTCTTTTGCCTAACCACCTAAGTCAAATTTCACTTTATTTGAGTCTTCTATAGTAATTGATCCATCACCTAAATGAGGTATCATAATGTTCATAATTTATTGCATAAAATAAACATCTTGAATAGCTTTTTGTAGTCGATAGAGTGATGAGAATCTTCTAAGAAAAACAAATAGAATTTGACTTTTGTAAAAAGTTTGAGCCATAATAGAATATCTTTCACAATATTCAAGGTATCTATCTAATGTTCTTTTACTCGTTTTCTGACACCTTTTCAGCTAATTTCTTGAGTGTTGCAATTTCATCTATCTTGTATGTCCAAAACGCATCCGCAAATAACTTGGGCTTAACGTTGAACCTGCTAAACATACAAGCAGTACAGTTTTCATCAACAATCAGAGTGGTTTTTTAGCCAGCTGCGCTGCTAAAGTGATGGTTACTTACCTTCAGACTCCCATTGAAGTTGATCAACGATACTTAATCTACCTTTATGAATGAGATTTAAGCTATATTTTAAAGGCAGGCCCCCACGCATGCCCTGTGGCTTCCAGGGCATGTGTAGGGCCTTAGCCACAGGGCAAGGGCCTATCGCGGGCGGGGGCTTAGGCTCTGGAGCGCCCCGTGTGAGTGGGCCCCAGGTGTGAGTGTGAGTTTCAAAGGTCTGGAGGATTGAACTTTCAATTCATAAGCTTGAATGGCCAGCAAATAGCCTGGATCTCAATCCAATCAAAAACATATGGGCTCTGATGAAAGACACAATCTCAACCAAGTATACAATAAAAAATATTGATCAAATGAAGGAGGCATTACAATCTGAATGGGACAAAATTCCGGAAAGCAAGATCAACAAGCTTGTGGCTTTTATGCCAGATCACATTGAAGCTGTGCTTCAAGCGCATGGTGGTCACACCCGGTGGGGAATGATATTGATCGTACATTATTCATCCCCTCATTCTAAATCAATCCACTATATACACACCATGTATTTTTTTAACTTGCTCTCCTCCTTTTCTTCATACATATTAAGCATTGAGGGCTCAGGATCCACAAACCTCACCCATCACCACCATCACCACTCTCACTTGTTAATCATTTTACTAGTCACTACACTACATGTCTTCATCAACAAGACATGTGTTTTTCATTCACATGCTCATCTCAATCCCTCCTCTTCAGACACCTGTTTACTTGAACAATTTTATTAATCTTACATGCATATATAGCTATTTACAACAATCTTCCCTTTTTCATCAGGCTTTCTGTAAAAAAAACAATCAAAACCCAGAATGTGCCCTTGTTTTTTGAGCTGATTAGCAAATTCCTATTGGTTTCCATTGAGGAATGTTTGTAAGATGTTCTAGATCTGGAGATGTGATTGCAGAGCAATGAGATGATCACAATAACTCCTAATTGGCACATCACAATCTAGAGTTTTAATTCATGATCAAAAATTGGCTTTTGAATATTGCACAACTCTAAATGGTTGCCAAATAAAAAAACAAGTTGAAAAGTCAGTATTTAATTGTAGGTCACAAAATTAATCATAAAATGCAAACCATGTTAACTGGAGATTGGATGAAACAATTTAGCAAGACTCTGTCTTACAATAAGAAAGAATAACCAAGCTGAAAAATGGGAGGGTTGGTGGGAAACAGAAATTTGTGATCATGAACAAGAGAACACTAAGGTTTTTCCAATAAAGCTATGGATGGATTCAAATTGGTAAAGAAAGATACAATTATGGGATACAAAGTAAAAACTAGGATTTCTTTTCCAGTTTCCCAGTTTTTGCTTCTGGCTGTATTTGAGAAACTGGGAAAGTGGGAAAAAACTCTCAGTTTTTACTTTGTATCCCACAAATGAAGTGGTACAAATGATTATTGAGAATTGTCAGAGAAGAGATAATGAGAATTTACAAAAATGCTTGAAAACCATTACTAATCTCTTTAATTTGGTATCAAGCCAAAAATCACCGATAAGCCGCAAGCCCCCCCTCCGCAGGCTCCGGGGGACATCTCTGCGGGGTTAGGGACTTGTGTTAAGCTGGGGGGATATTCACTACAAAAAAAACTGATTTTCCGCGGGGATTTTTGATTTCCCTGTAGCGGAAAATCACGTGACTTATGTACAGCGTGTACATACAACAGGTTGATGCACTGTACACCCCGACCACCCGCCCACCGTCTGTGCCTGACGATGCACAACTGCAGTGTCTGTGCACCAACCCAAAACAAAACAAACCATCCACATTCCCAAAACAAACGACTGCAAACGACCGTTTCTATGTATCACCTCTCTCAAACATCGACCCAGTTGGCGTGGTCCATCTTGGCATGTATGTAGGTATGTCAGCAAATGTCATTTTCACCACTTCAACCCAGCTCAGTCTGAACTGATACTGAGAATATGTCACTCATTTCTCCAACAGACGCTGACCATAAGTCTGGAAACGCGCAAACGTCAATATTCCAACGTCGCACCACCCGAAACGCTGTCTTTGGCTGAGACAACCACGAAGGGGCTCACTTTTACTTTGGAGTTTTTTTTGGAAACTGATCTTGGTCGGGGGTTTGATTGTAGAAATGCAATTGGACTTCTGAATGAAGGTAGAACTGGAATTGCTGCTCAAATGGTTGGATTAGCTCAAGGTGCGTTTGATCAATCAGTAAGTTATACTTATCAAAGAAAACAATCTGGAACACCGATTAGAGAGTAAGTTCTTCCTTGCCTTTCCTTTCTCTGAACCAAATCTCTCAATGAAAATCTTCAGCTAATTCTCAATGATTTTTTTCAATCAAGGTTTCAAGGAATGCGATTTTAATTTGCGGATATTCAAACCAAAATAGAAGCCGCTAGATTATCAACTTACAGTGCATCAAAACTTAAAAGATAAATCATACTGTTGAACAACATGGATGCAACGGCTGGATTATGTTCATCTGAGATTGCTGAAATGTCTGCTATTGAATGGTGTGGTGGGGTTGGATTTACTAGAGAAACTGATATTGAAAAGTATTGAAGAGATTTGAAAAGTTCAAGTTTCTTTTTTCCCTTTCCTTTGATATCTCTCGCTCTTAGGATTTTTGATTGGCTGATTTGTTAATCAGAATGATGTTTTTTTTCTTTAGACAGGGTGCTGCACAAAAAGAAACTTGACACTCAACGTGCGACATTGGCTAAATTAATTGCCAGAACGCTTTCTCAATGATTCTTTTTACTTCTGACAGAAAGGATCCAAGTTTCCAAAACCAAATCAACTTTTATCCCTCTTTTTTATTGTAATCTGATGGTCTTATTTTTCCTCATGTGAATCTGTTCATGATTAAAATTTCTTATTTAAATGACCAAAAGAGAGAGAGAGCATGCAGGTGTTTATAAAATTGATTTGATGTAAATTATTTTGCTTCACTTGTGTTGTTTGTTCATTGACATAGCTGAACTTGTTTCTCACGTACATGTGATGGTGCAATATCATTTTGCTTTGTTTACAACGGGGATGGTTACAGCTATTTTTTCCATCTATAGTAATTAGCAGTAATTGCATCTCTTGGCTGTATATGCCTCTAGATACTAACAGCTCCACTGCTTTGTTTTGAGTCTACACGACTCTTGGAGCCGGCATGCATTTTGGAAAAGCTCTACAGATAATCACCGGTCCAATACTCTGGAAGTTTGTCTTTGAAGGTATTCCTTAATCATCTATCTTAGCAGACGGATAATTCCACCATCCTCATTTACTGTCACTACAAGGAATATAATGTTTTCTGGGCAGAAAATTAAATTATTGATACACAAAAATATTGAGAGGCCAGGAGAAGGGCAACAAATAAATAAAAATATGCATCTTGTTCCCTGCGGTGAGAGCTTCACTCTCCATATTTTTCCGTATTTTTACAGTCCATATTGATAAGTGTACTAACAATAAACCTTCACAATCATCCAATTACAACCTGTAACAAGCACTGAAATTTGGCTCATTAGTGTTTAGAGAAACTTTTGATTTCTGAAAATACTCATAACTTTTTCAATTCCGGTCCAAAACGCTCGATTTTGGGTGCATTGGTAATCTGGAATTGTCCTCCAAATAGTTCATAATAGGACCACACAGCATGCTGGTCTTTTAAAAAAGATATCATCTTTTTTATACATTTGTACATACAGATCCATAGAATGATTGTCATACTAGCTACATAGTTCTTGATCTTATGACAGTTTGAGAGGAAGAGTTTAGCTTTCTAATGCACTTTTAATCGAGTGTTCTGAGCCAGATTTGACAAAGTTATAGGTGTTTTCAGGTATCAAAAGTTTCTCTAAACACTAATGAGCCAAATTTCAGTGCTTGTTACAGGTTGTAATTGGATGATTATGAAGGTTTATTGTTAGTACACTTATCAATACAGACTGTAAAAATATGGAAAAATATGGAGAGTGAAGCTCTCACCGCAGGGAACAAGATGCATGTTTTTATTTATTTTTTGCCCTTCTCCTGGCCTCACAATATTTTTGTGTATCAATAATTTAATTTTCTGCCCAGAAAATATTATATTTTGTGTAGTGTGTTCGTGTCTTCATCACTTCCCTCACTTTTCTCTCATGTTATGTTTCACTGGTATCCCCTTGAGCTTTCTGTGCTAGTGACTACCCTGTTTCTCGTCACATCGATTGTGTCCTCAACTCTCCAATAATGCAAAAAAGGCCTGAAAAGGGTATGGTGCTGTTGAAGGAGGTGATAGAAACAGTGATTCGCAGTCGTTTCAGCCAAAGAACCGTTTTCGGAATGCCACCACTGAATGGCTTTGTTTGTTTTGGGTTGGTGTAGACGCCTGCGAGAGGGACGGCGACGACGTCTTGATGGAAACCGTCACAAAACCGCCGCTTGCGACATTTTCAGCAAAATATCTCGTTTCTGTTGGGACACGAATAGGTTTATTACGAACTAACTAACATTGTAAGTACATTTTATAGACAAATAACGGCATGGCGTTGGTGAGGATAGCCGCCACGCTAATGCTGAAACACAGCGTCTTGGACCCTGGAAACCCTCGACCCTAACACCCCCCCCTCAACAATGCCATGATACATGGGTACAAAAGAAACATAAGATCATAAGAAAGAAAACATAGAAAACATAGAAAACTGTTACACAAGAAAAAAAATCTAAGAGAAAACCCCCCAAGGCCTGATCATCCTGTAAAGCCTATATCAAGCTCAGCAAATTGGGCTGAGGCTAGATCAATGTTGCAAGTGGATTTTGCTTTGTCTTTTTCCTTTTCACAGAGTTCCTTCTTGGCCCGTTTTTCACAATCAGCTATAACATGACCTGGATCCTTGCAATAGAAACAGAGTTTCTTGATGTCTACCTGCATAACGGATGACTCTCCAGTAGTTGATCCAATAGAAACAGCAGCTGCTGACAATGCACAAGACATCTCACCGGACGAGATAGAAGAAGTTTTATTCGAGTCGATCTTGTATTCAAAAGTGTGTTCAAGAAATTCGTAATTGTCGGGCATACTGATCAGTTGTAATATCGCTAGAGTGTCATCGCCAATGGATAGACCAATTCTTGAGAGTCTATCACTAGTGTCTCTCATTAATGCTAGGTGTGCGTCGATAGTTGTAGTGGTTGAATCAAATTTCATCAAGGTGATTTGCCAAAGACTGGCTACTCTAGCTGCAAACGAGATACCGGAGAATTGAGCCTTCAAGGCTGCATATTTTGCCGCTGGGGTTTCTAAATGACGTATGGATAATCCTAATGAACAATCGATTGTCCAACTCAAAACACCATCTACATAATCGGCTTGTTCCACATCGTAAGATTTGTGCGTTTTCACCATCAAAGGATTGAGATAAGATTTGGCACCAGGTGTGAAGACTAGAAATTGTTCGATGTTGTAGTCCCATTCATCCCAATTGGACCCATCACGAGTAAGTGTCTTCACTTGGTCAAGTTTGATTACTTTAGAAAGAAAAATTGCTCCAGCAGACGGAGATTTGTCGGAAGTCGACATAATCGGTTCTTCAAAAGTCGAAATGGTGGGTTCTTCAAAGATCAAGCTAGCTACTTGTCACAACAAGTAAAACAAAAAGATCCAAGGACGTCAATCACACAAGATTGACCGAAAAGACAAAAGTCACAAAGTGACACAAAAACAACAGAACACAAAAACGAGTTTATTAACGAGAACAAAGTAAGGTTGCAGTACCTTTAGAATGAGGGATTAACAAATCTGGTGAAGAAGAAGATGAATTTGGAACTAGTAAGGCAATAATGTCTAGATTTTCTGATTCTTGTGCTCGAGTAAGCGGAGGGCTCATAACCTGTTGGGACACAAATAGGTTTATTACAAACTAACTAAAATTGTAAGTACATTTTATAGAGAAATAACGGCATGGCGTTGGTGAGGATAGCCGCCACGCTAATGCTGAAACACAGCGTCTCGGACCCTGGAAACCCTTGACCCTAACAGTTTCGAGTTGACGGACACAACTTATGGCTCACCTGTTTTGGTGGGTGTACAGACACTGAGACGTTGTATATACGGTACATCTGACGGACGGCGTACCCGGGGTCAAGTCTAGAGCTCACGTGATTTTCCCCTAATCTGAAACCAAAATTCCCTGGGGAAAATCAGTTTTTTTTGTAGTGATTTGGATGTACCAGTGAAACTAATGACACTTGTGTGCATCCGAGTATGTACCTAGCTTAACACAAGCCCCTAACCCCCGCAGAGACGTCCCCCGGAGCCTGCGGAGGGGGGGCTTGCGACTTATCGGCAAATTTGGCCTGATACCAAATTCGGTTTGGCTGGGACCATCTCCAGCCAGCATTTACACCACCTTCTGTTCAACAAACCCCTCAGACAGCTCTAGTAAGATGTCTAGGTATTATTTTTCTCCATCTTTTTGTGTACTCAGATTCTCCATATTCTTCATAACGGCTCAAGGAGGTCAATGTCTAAAAAAATAAAAAAATAACTTAAAATATGATTCTGCTGCGACTACAGACACATTTACATATAAAAATATACTAGCCCAATCAGCGGCGGGCGCCGCATTATTCAACCATATCCAATTACTTTAGCAATTTGACACTATTTTCTTGTGAGGATTTATTTCATCTACCTCTCATCCTGGAATCTATCCATGCAAGCTTTCGAACATCCCCAGGTGTACACATCACACATTCAGTTTCTTATGACATGCCAAACACCCCAATTCATAAGCACAGCTCACAACTAAGCGCCAAAATTGTGACACCAAAAGTAGAAGACACTTAAAAAATATGTCTGCAAACACCTAAACCTGAAATCATACTCTCATGAAGAAACACAATAATGTGTACATTTCCCCCTAGGATTTGTAATCATTGGGATTGGTCCAAAACCTGGCACCGCCACTGCAGAACTTGAATGATTACGTAAATCACTTGGAGGGGACTGTACATACCAAACAGGTTGAAGAATGTTGCATCCACAATCAAAAATAACAATGGAGAGTGTGTCTGTGTTTTTTTGTAACTTCACAGAAATACATCTAAGACTTTTGTCTTTGATTCTTTGTTAAAGACTTTTCTTTTCCTTTCCTTTCTCTTCTTCTTCAACTCAACCTTCAGGAGTAGCATATGCATAAAAAAATTTCAATCTCAAGACCAAAAAGAAACCCATCATAATCAGTTTTAAAAAGTTAATAAACTCTTCCAGGCTTAACAACAGAAAAAACCAATAATCATACATAGAAACACATTATTTTTTGAATTTTTTCCAACCCTCAGGCCTTCTTCTTGAAGCAGAACAAACCTCATCTTTGCTCAACCCATTCCCATCAATTCCCAACTCTTTCCAATAATTTCACAATCCTTGATTTTTTTGTCATCAAAAAAAAAGTCACAAAGTTTGATAGTATTCCTTTCCTTTCCACCGTGATGATTTATACTACTTTCTAAAGAAGAAAGTTTGATAGCATCCAATAATCTTTTCCAACCAATTTTACAAACCTTTAAATTTCCTTTTATTGTATCAAGCCAACCATTTTTAACATCATATGTACTACAATATCTAATTCCAAACCTGTTCAATGGTTTTATTTCAAGTTAAGTTAGATCTTCACCGACTAAACATACATCTAATAAAAAAGTATCAACATCTTTACCCACAATGAAATGACCTTCAATGAAGTGTAACACATGAACGTTCAAAGCATATGCATAGAAATGCCTTTCAATCAGATATCTAGTAAGAATTCCAAGGCCAGCACTCCTAAATTTGTCGAAAAAAGATACAAGTTAAAACATGTTTTTACAAAAAATCAAGTCATAAAAAGGTTTACCTATGAATCGTTCCAAAGTCTGTAGATACATTTAGATTCAGTTTCCAAAGAAGATCGATGATAACCAATCAATTGACAAAATTCTTGATTGGTTCTTACAATCTCACGTGCCCTACGCCAAACACAAGCTGGAATAGGTAAAGTACTAAAGATTGGAGTATATTCTTGTAAAAGTCTATAAAAACAAATCTCAGATTCGATTCGATCAGATGTTGACAATGATGAGGTGATTGCCTGAAAATCAAATCAAATCAATAAAAAACCATTGAAAGTTTGGATTGAAAGCGTTGAGAATGTGATTCATAACTCACTAAGAGGTGAGATTGGAAATCTCCTATGGTCCTTAAAAGTTTGGACTTCATATCTGCAGAAGGTCTAAGAGATGGAAATCGGAAGGAAGTGAAAAGAAATGTCTAAAAGATGATGAAAATTCTCCTTCTTATTTCCACAAAACGATTCAAGTTTATAGTGAGGATAGAGAGGTAAAAATCAGTGTACATGCAATGAATCCAATCTAGGAGCTTATGATGACCTTGTTGTAATCGAAACGGGTAAGATCTTTGAACCTTGAGCTATTTTGATCACTTTCAATAGGATTTCGATCTCTAAGTTCATTTCAATGATTGGCAGGAGTGATAGCATCAGACATACTACTGATTCGATTGGAGAAAAGACCTGGATATGACATGAGGATGTCATTGAAATCGAGTTTTGGCGAAAGGCTTCGCTCAGGAGGGTTAGGATTGCGCAGGTTTAATACTGAGGAGTGAGTTACTTGAGCCTTGGGTGGTAATCAGATGAGGTTGACGTGAAGATGGCTCAGCTGCAAAACAAAATACACATAGAGGATCAGTCAATGTTAGGAATTGACCGAGTTTATGAGTTCAATGATCCACTCACTTATCCCTCAGCTTCCTGAGATCTGTACTGAGGAGCCTGTTCCGGTGGACGACAGGTTCTGATAGGATTGAAGATGATGTGGTGTGGTGATTGTTGGATCAATATCTAATTGATTGTCGGTTTAAGTTATCCATCGCATTTTCCATAGACAACAACTCCGGTAATTGATTCAATGGATTCGTAACGTGAGTTTGTGAGGTGAATGAGTAGGTGAATGGAAGTGAGGGGATATATGCAGACAGAAATGTGTACCTGTTTCTGTAGGTGGTGAAGAATTGATTTGACGAGAAGAGCGAGGAATGAATTTGGGGTTAGGCGCGTGGTAATCAGATTAAATGCGTTGAACGTACAGTAGCTAAAGGCTACTTTGTGCTACCACTTGCATCCCCCGGCCCCGGGTCTGGGACCGGTCCCAAATGTTAGGGATTTGGAAAAACCAAAAATTTAGCTGCTAGGTTAGGGGTTAGTTTGCTGAGATGGGTCAGAACAAGTAAAATTTGATATTTCTGAGAAAAAATACACGTAGAAAACACACATTTAAGTTTAAACATACTCTATGTTGATTTGAACAGGCACAGAGGAAAAAATTCACGGTGCAGACAGTCTGACAAACCTTGCTCCGCATCAAGACTTTCAATTATCTTATAGCACTGAAGAATATCATCATCTGAGATCTTTAATTAATGGCTATTTCCAAACGAAAAAAAGCTCAACAATCACGACGAGCAAATGAAGCTGAAAGAATTAGAATTGACAATGAAATTATCTCATTTATCAAAAATCAAATAGCGGACTCTGAGGATGAAAATAAATGTGGTGATGACCTTAATCAAAAACTATTTCCAGTCTTCCTCACTCGCGACTCAGGCGGACCAGCCGTTGGAAAGCGCAAGAACCACTTTGGAAACTTAAAAAACTATAAAAAGCCAATCCCTCACCCAAATCACCTCAACAAGCAGCTAATCTCAAAACCAGTTCCCAAACAAACCTCCCATAATCGCCGAAAGAAAGCTCAGGCAGCGGTCGGTAAAAACACCGGCTTTATGGACAATTGGGCCAAGCCTCAACCTCCGACTGATGTTGCTGGAAGATCAGTGGTGTCACCCGATGAACATACAACACCAAATTCTGACATTACAATAGATATTGAATCAGATCAATGTAGCACTGATTTAGATAATGAATCCAATCATACTGAAGACTTATCAGACGAGCTCGAAACCGCAAATACAGTCCATCAAGTCGATGCAGAATATGAAGAGTGGATAGCTTTATCAGTACAGAAAGTTCAAGTTACTCAAGAGGAAAAGGAAGCTTCAGAGAAGCTGTTAGAAGAGAAACGTTTGAAAGAAATTGATGATGAGTGGACTTTACTTGACCTCAAGATAAAAAGAGCTAAAATCAAATACGAGGCTGCACACAAAGCTAACCCCAAGCACGATGTCTCTAATCTAGTATTGGATGAGCTCAGGGAGTTCAATTACCGTCGCAAGGAGCTCTCATTGGCAAAAGCAAAATCACCGGCCATTCAAGCTTCAATACTTACAGCACAAGCTTCTTTGCGTCGAATTCCCAACAATCGAAGGAAATTTACCTCGGGTGTGGGAAGAGCAAGAAAGACTCGAGCCCAAGCTAAACACCTGGACACGTTTGGAAGTTTGATCTTTTCTCAGTCAGGATTTGGGTCCAAACATCCTTCAATGTTGGATGACCCCAAGCTTTCTGCTGCAATAATTACCTGGTCTTCTTCAAAGAAGCCTGGCGAGGTCAGTTGGTTTTCATTATTGTACAAACTGTTAAAGAATAGCTCGATCAATCAAACTTTGATCGCTTCCTTTACGGTTTTTTCGCCCAGGTTACTCCACGACGTTTCTGGGACTACATCAACAATGTAGCTCTACCAGTTTCTCATCCAGGCCAATCGATTTCTCTAGTCACAAGCTATCGCTGGATGCATCGCCTTGGGTTTTGCCCTCAGGAGTATCGCAAATCGTTGTATTTCGATGGCCACGAACGACCGGATGTTGTTGAATATCGAACTCGGTTCTTAGCCGAGGTTGCTGAACTTCGTAAGAGATCCCGAGTCTATGTTGGCGAGCATCTTGAACAATCTGTTTCGATCGACCCTGAGATCCTTGGAGACAAACGCGAGACCGTTTTTGTTTATCACGACGAGTCCACTGTACATGCTAAAGATCGTCCTTGACTGTCGTGGCTCATGCCTGGAACAACTGAATATCGATCTAAAGACTCAGGTCGGCTCATTCACATCTCAGACTTCATTTGTGAGACTACAGGTCGGCTCGTTATAACACAGGATCGTGTGGATAGTTTGAGATCCGAAGGTCATCAACCAGTCCTACCGAGTGTTAGTGATGCAGCTGTAGTTATACATCCGGGAAGCAAAGGTGATCCCTGGTGGAATATGAAGCAGTTGATAGCCCAAATTCAGACTCGTACTCTACCGATCTTTGAAGCGATGCATCCAAATTGTGAGGGTGTCTTTGTCTTTGACTGCTCTTCAGCTCATGAAGAATACGGGCAAAATGCATTACGTGTACAAAGCATGAGCCTCTCCTCTGCTGGGAAACAAGGCCACCTTTGACCGACCATCATCCCTACTGATGATCCTCATATCCCTCACGAGCTCCGAGGTCAAACACAGCTCATGGTATTCCCGCCCGATCACCACGATCCCAAGCTTCGCGGTGAAGCTAAAGGCATGAAAGTAGTTCTGCAGGAACGTGGCCTATGGGAATACTACGAGAAACGAGCGACTTCTTTGAAACGACCTACCCTTAATGCAAAGTGTTCTGTCTGTAAAGCATCGGGAGCCAGCCAAGATGCTAAGAGACAAGCTGTTCGCCAGATTCAAGAAGCTGAAGCTCGCGGGTTTTTTGTTTCTGAGAATGTGGTTGATGTCGGAACCGAATTGGAACCTGAAAGAAGTGATTGTTGTTGGTACAAGATCCTCAGCTTACAGTCAGATTTCATGAATGAAAAGCCTCTTCTCCAGATGGTGATTGAAGAGGCGGGTCATGTCTGCTTATTCCTACCAAAGTTCCATTGTGATCTAAATCCAATTGAGCTCTTTTGGTCTTATATCAAAGATCGTAAGTGTTCTATTGTTTATCACTGTCTTGATGTTTGAAGATCTAAATTAAATCTATTGCAGAATTTCGCCAATCCGCCCTCCAGTGCACAACTTTCAAGACTGCGCAAGACCTTTTTGAGAAGGTTCGTAAAACCTGTCCTTTGGAAACTATCCGTAAATACTTTCGTAAAATTGATCGACAGCACTCTGTGTATCAGTAAGTTGTTTTTCTCTTCTCACACATCTTCTGTGTCTGACTTGGGAATCTACCTATGTAGGCTGGGATTAACTGGTGCTGAGGCCGAGAAGATGGCAAAACGTTACCGAGGACACCGCACAATTCCCAAGACAGCTTTCTTGAATATTGAAGCAATCTGTAACCCAACTAACAAATAAAAAGCTCAGTAAAGCTTAGATGCACTGATCTTAGACCTCTTGCCTTAAAAACTCTTTTGAATCAAAGCTAGTTAGACACAAGTGACAGTTTCATTTAGTATTGATTGCTGCTTTTGACCCGACTGCCCTTATCAATTTGTTCTTCTTAACTTGGTTTATTTACTATCTTGTTTCCTAGAGATTTGTGCTAGTGTTGTTAGTCTCCCTCACCTATCTTCGTAGTGAAATTCATTGTGGCATTGAATTTGGAGGATGTTTGATGTGAAAGCTAACTAATGCCATAGATTAGTACCCTAAGTTCATAGTGTGTGAATACATACCTCACTTGAGATATACTGGATACCTAAGGTCTTAGGCTACCTGCCCAAGGCCCTATACTATGTACCTTAGCCCCTAGGTACTTGAAATGTGGTCTTAACCCATACCCCATACCCCTAACCCCTAACCTCTGACGGCCATAATTTACCCGGGTCCCAAATGTTGACCATTTCAAAAAAAAAAATGAAAAGTGCTTCAGATGATCCTGAAAAGATATGCATAGATTAAGCTTCTTCTTCTGATTCCACCCATCTAATTGTTTCCTTGAAATATTGTTATTGAGATACCTATTGGTTAGCTCAAAAACGAAATTTCGTTTTGCAGTGAAAACCGTAGTACAGAGTAGCCTTTAGCTACTGTACAAACCTGGAAATTGTTAGTAGGGATTGGGAGTTTAATCAGGTTTTGCCGCCGAACACGGTTTACCTTTAACATTAATGATTTGGTTTTTTCGAGAGTTAAATCCATCTCTCTCATTACCAAATTGGTCTCCGTGGGTGTAACGTCATAAAGTACCACATCAAAGCTCAGCAAAGACTCTTGCACAATTCTAAATATATATCTAGATGCTGTAAGTCCTCACTTGTCTGGATCTGTTTCGATTTTCAATAAACTTATCCTTGTTTTCGCTCAGCCACGTTGCTTGAACATGGATAGCGAGACCGATAGTTCAGATTTGGATCAAAACAATCTTGACCTCGATCCATCTCTCTCGCAACAAACATTAACACCTCAAAAGTGTCTCCCACTGGTTGAACGAGTTTGTCACTATTTGGACAAACAGAACACCAACACGAAATCTTTTATCCTGGCCTACCTACGCTCCACAAACGACAAAATTGTCAGACGCAAAAAACAGTGGGCATCTGTAACAAAAGGGTGGAAATCTACTGAAGCTGTATTGGATGCGATTGAAGAGCTGGTCAATCAGAAGGCAGAATGTCGACCAAAATGGAATGATTGGGTTTTAAAAAAGGTAAACTTGACTACTTTCTTGGACAATAAGCATATCACATAACTGATCAATACTCAAATTACGCACAGGCCAAGGTTATTGTAGCACAACAGTCGCCACCCAAAGGTGGCCTATATGTAAATATAAATAAGTTAGATACATGTTTCTTTGATCATGAACAGGATGTTAAAAGAGAATCAGACATAGTTCAAAGTATGGACTTTCTCCATCAGTTGATTACTTCTAAGCTTGAACACGCGCACCAAGCCTGGAGTGCCGAGAGAAAACGATGTGCCAAACAGAAAGCTGGGAGAATTGATCAACGCCGCCACAGATACGATACTGGTATCGTATCGCCGATACCAGTACCGTACCGTGTCAACAAATACCTGGGGCGACAGTATCCAATATCGTACCTGAGTACAGGTACGATACCCAGAACCGTACCGACGCTTGCGATACCTATATCACCTGTGGTCAGGTACCGTACTGAGTTGTAAGCAACAATACGGTACTATACCGTATCGTTCAGTATCAATGACGATACGATACGGTACCGTATCGTTGCTTACAAAGCCAGGTACTAAACCGTACCGACCCTTTTTTCAGTTAGCTCCCGCAGCAAAACTCCCACAAACCAGCTAAATCGATTTCACACCAAGAAATTACAGTAGGGAGGCACAAAGTAGAGAAATTAAAATAAAAGAGATAAAATCACACCCAGCCACGTCAATCACCCCCTCCTTTCTCGTGCCTCATTATCCTTTGCAACACAATCAGCCATGATATCTTGCGCTGATTCAAACTTGCCTCGCATTTTGACACCTTGAACGGACCACAAAAGCCCTCCAACCGTGCGCTCAATAGTTCGTGGCTTGAGAGACATTCGGTCATGTGAGCACACATCATCCGAGGCAGAAAAACCTCTCTCGACTGGGCAACTACTTGCGCTGATAGCCAAGTAGTCCCGGGCTAGCGAACTCAATATCGGATATTTGCCCTCGTTGAGCTAAAAAGCAATGGTCATCAGTACATTATACTATAGACAATGTTGCATCATAGGAATGAGTGAGGAACTTACCCTCCACCATTCCAAAGCCAAATGGGGATTCTCAGCTACCTCAGGCGCAGGATCCTCGGCCATCTCTAGATACGATCGAAGCTTGTTGGCGGTATTTCAACGGTTCTTCTCTTTATGTTTTCGGAATTCTTCATCATCTTCTCCGAGCTTCTTGCTTTGGCCTACATTGTTAATTGCTGGGTTTGGCGCATTCGTCCAACTTTCCTCCATTTGCGCCTTGCGTTGAGAGTATGCTGTTTCAATCAGCTCTTTAGCCATGTCGGTCTCGGCAGAGCGCTCTCCAAATGCGAAGTCAAAATAGTCAAGACGTAAACTTGGATGTAATACGGTTGCGAGCATAATGACGTTAGAGCTAACGGCTTCCATGAGATACGACTTTACTCGCACAAGCATGGCGTGGTGCATTGGAAAAAGCGGATCTGCTCGTGATTTCGTTGCATCAATCTTCTTTTGGAGAGTCTTCCGGAGTTTGACATACTCCTGTATGACAAGCGAGGCGGTAGGTCCATCTTGTTCAAAAAATTTAGTTAAATTTTTGAATTCCTACAATGATGATAGAATGTTAGTAATATATTCGACAAGTAATATATTTGACAAAGTCGGGAAATCAATGTGATCAAGAAAAAATAACTCACTTGAAGAAGCTCCATTAAATCTCTCACTTGTCGCCATTCATCTGGCAATATCATGATCTTGTTGAATATTCCTCGTGGTCGATTGATGTCTGGGGGCAGTGCAACCTCACCAGCTCGACTTTGACCTCGGCGTGGTGCCTCCATCTGGTCTTCTTTCAAGATTTGATTGATGACCTAATAGCAAGAATCATCAAATGTCAGGAAGAGGAGATAAGAAAGAATAAGAAAAAAACTTGAAGTACTTACTTCCCGGGCGTTGTATAACCGAGTCCAGCACTGCAATTTGATGTTCCATCGAATACCGTAGCCAGGAATTGGCCTCGGGAGCTTTTTAGAGCACAACTTTTGGCTGACGGCATCAAATAGCATGCACATCACAGATGAGCCACCTATCTTTCGTCCTACAGCATCCAACTGATAAAAACATGATCAGAAACCGTGTAGTTAACAAGTATAAACAATAACATACTTTGGTGGTGAGCAAGTGCACCCCATTGGCTGCAACCCGGTCGGTCGCAGCGACTTCTTCGTCGCGGTGAGGCCCATCAACTACATCATACCAATTGGATGGCTCTTGAGGTGATGTCAAATCTAAATCGTCCACTTCTCCATCTGAGTCTGAAACATCATCTTCAGGACCGTTGTCACCCTCACCGTTTTCTTCCTCTTCAATCACAGTCTGTAAAGTGTTTGTTGGAACCGGAAAATCACCCAACATCGTTGATTTGACAAGCGGTGGAGGTGGGGCCTGAATTCCAAGGGCTTGGAGGCCAGCATTGACAATCAGCGCAAGTTTGTGACAGACACATCGAACCCTATCCGTCTTATGATCCCATTTAAATACTTCATTTCGATCGGCACAGTATTTGGTGAGTCTGACATTCATTGCTTCGGCTAGTGTGTTGTTGTTGCTGCCAGAGTCGTGAGTCTGAGCTATCATGTGGGGAAATCAGAAAGCAATCAGTGAGATGTAGAGATGATTGGAAAATAGTAGAAATGGATGGGATGTGAATTAAATACTTATCTTCAAATGTAAACCGTGCTTTGTCAATAGGTTGATGAGTGGCTCAGCAAGCCATTCGCCTTTGTGGTGCCACGCTATAAGTTTGAGGGCGAAATGCCGTGTGACAAAGGTCCAATTTGATGTTATGTAAGTTACACTGGCGCCAATAAAGCCGTATCGGTTTCCCTTGGTTGTCCACGCATCGTGGATGAGACCAAAGGAACTAGTGAGGGACTGATGCAATGGAAAGTTTTTAGTAGACTGTATAGTTCAGTCAAATATAAGAAAAGGAATAAATAGCTCACCTTGAGTTCTCCAATGACAGACGCTCGCAATTCAAGGTAAGCCTCGTGGGCAAACTTCGCGACCCATGTCCTTCCAAACAGTTGAGCATGCGGATTAGCATATCTAAAACAAGCACGTAGATATACGTCCTCCACCCGAGCCCAGGGTTGGGCAGTCCTGATGACCCACATGCCCAGCATCTGGTTGAGTGTTTGGTTGTCGAACTTGTGAACCTTCTGAGCGTAGGATAGAATCGAGCTCTGTCCTTTGACGGTGGTCCGAGTGGCAGCCTCGCGTCTCTCGTCCCAGATGGTAAGCGGCAGGATACAGCCTTGCTCGATGGCGAGGTCTCTTTTCTTGCAGCCCGGCTTTCCGGATTTATTGTCTTGCTTGGATCCATCCCGATGAACCCACATGTTGGACGTTGATCCACCAAAGGCTGATACTTCAGCATCGCAATATCGGCATACGACGTAAGACATCTTTCCGGGTTGCTATCAATGGTGCAAAAGGTTAAAAGACAACAGAGACAACATTAAATTACTATTAGATTTTAGAAAAGAGAAAGTCATTGCTATATGAAAAGACTCCACTTACATCGTTTTTCCCGTGAACTAGGTCTGGAAGGTAGTATTCACGAAGAGGATCGAATACTACCTTACCTTTTTTCTTGGCCGGTTTTTTGAGGACCTTGTCGTTCTCCTCGTCTGAGTCCTGAACCAAGTCGACCTCGAGATGCAATTGGGTTGTTGAAGACGGGTGAGCAGAAGAAGCTTGATCATTGCATTGAGCTGGAGGTTGACCAGAGCCAGAAGGTCAAGGTTTTGGTTTCACTGGTTGTTTGCCTTTGATGTTAGTACTAGCGTTCGGTTTGGATTGTACTTTGCGAGAAGTCTTGGTTTGAGAAGTCCGGGTCTGAGAGGATGAATCTTCCTCTTCCGGATCATAATTGTCACGTTTGCGCTTTGATGAGCCGGTAGATGAAATAAAGTCTTCGTCATCTGTGATGCGGCGCATGGCACGGCGCGAGTCGACAGGTGATGATAACATTAGAGATGGTCTTCGCAATGGGGAAGGTCGAGAACTGCGACGATATGGTTGTTGCTCAGTGGATGATGAGGCAGACATGTTTGTGTTTGCAGCGATGAATTTAAAAAAACAGAATGTGAGTGGAATGAAATATTATAGCAGTATTGGATGGAGAAAGAAAGAAAGAAGATAGGAAAAGAGGATGAGAGGGGGACAAACGCACTCGATGGAATGCATAGGGTAATCATATACCCCCTGTAACAGCCTTGAGCTCCATACCACACTTAGCCTGCCGAGTTTCCGTCGCCATAGTTCCATTTCGAGGTTGTATTGGGTGTAGAGCAGGATGCTTTGGGTGGGGTGAGTCGCTGAATGCAGGGATTTTTAGACTGGAAGGGGGAAGGTAGGCGAGGAGATGTATGGTGGGCGGAGTAGGGTACGGTTCCCAGTATCGTAGCCGGAATCGGGTACTGGCGACCCCGGGTATCCGGTGCCGTACCGGATTCCGGCTACGATACTGGGAACCGTACCTTGACTAACGATACCCTAATCAGGGCCCCTGGGTATAGTATCGGTTATTCGGCTATGATAACCTGAGTACGGTACTGTTACTCTCGGTTACAGTACGGTACGGTACCGGTACTGTAACCGTATCTGTGGCGGCGTTGCATTGATTCATGTTGCGAGTTTGATTCCGATTTGGACTCGGATTCTGGTTCGCAATCACTTTCCGAGACATCTGATATTGGGGAGGTCAATGAGTCACCTTCAGCTTATGTTTACCAAAGGTCAAAAGACAAAGTAGAGAACGCAAAGACTCGTTTAAAAGCAGTCAGTGCATTTTTATGCATCAAGTTGGTATACACACAAGACTGACTATCCTTTTGTGTAACGGTAGATTGCTTTGACAACAATCCAGATGGTTGCCTATGGATGCAGCCGTCGAAGCAATGGTCTTCAAGTGGAAAATACACTCACCTTGCTTGCGTGTGGTGTTTCTGAGCGTGTCAACCAATATCTGTACCAAATCGGACTCAGCTCATGTCGAAAGTCTGCTCTACGTGGTTTACTAGTATTAGCAAAGGATAAAGCAGCCACGATTAAGAAGAAGATTAAATCAGCTGGTACTTTTGGTTTTCTCATATGCATTGATAATATTGATATGATGGAACAAGTACATAGTCGACGAGTAGATTCAACCAGCAAAACGTATCACGGCACTTGGGGCTATATTCACTATCTGAACCCTGATCAACTCTCTGGCCTTGACACTGATGAGTGCACTGTTTCGGCTTTCCAACAATACCTAAAAGACGACATCAAGAAACTGGTTAAGCCTTTAGAATTACTTCCAAAGAAAGCCAAGCAGAATCAATGGGTCTTAACTTTGAAAAACCAAGCTGCTCGAGTACTTCTACGCTACACAAAAAACCCGGAGAAGTTCAAAGACATCCCAGTATTGAATCTACCCTCAGTTGATCAGATCAAGGCTGAAAAACCGGATATTGACATGCTCAAGCTTATGGACTCCTCTGATAACGGCTTGGACGGAATCTCTTCACTTTACGACGAATTGATCAAACAAACTGGCCTTCCCCCTGAAGACTTTGCGAGTAGATTACAGATGGTCAAAGGCGATCTGGGCACTTGTCTCAATTTCTTAGGTTTGGAAGGTCAACGTGTCCCTTCAAAATTTAATGATGAAAGCCTCGCTCATTTGATTATGGTACCAGGTGCTGGTCACACCTTGTGGAACATTGCACAAGCAATTTTGTTACATCATTGGGGTAAACCGGATGATAAGAATGATCTAGGTGCTTGGCGGACTGTAGTAGAGCTTGGTGGTCAGAAGGACAGACCCACTGCAAAGAAAGACTTTACTTCTATGATACGAACAATCAAACAGGCTCACGAAGCCACTCTCACTGCTTGTATCTTGTAAGACAGAACTTTGGTAGTATCTTTGTATGTCAAAGTTTACTAATCAAAGGTTTTTCTGTTTGATTCAAGTTCGGTTTTGGGTCTTACCGCTGGCGCTGTCAAAGAACCCATCAATATATCAGTCGAAGATTTCAACAAAACAATTGAAACTGTATATGACCAATTTTTATCAGGCCAGGTCCTTCGTCAAGCCCGTCAGCAAAAGAACAGCAAGAAAATTCAGTTATTACTACGACGTATAAGGGACTTTGCAAGTGTTGTTGAAGCCAATCGTGCCATGTCTGACGGTGATATTGGTCGCCTGCTCATCATCTGGAAGATGTGGAGCGTCATGGCCCAGGGTCTGAAGGGCCTTACCCATTACTCTAGGTATCTCCCTCGTCTACTTCAACTGCTCACTAAAACACTCCCAAAGTCTCTTTCACATATTATTCTACACTCGCTGTTAATCTCTCCAACTGGTCGACCAGGCCATTTTGTGGCCAAAGATTTTTACTTGGAAGTCCAAAATTATTGGCTCAAGTACTTCTACAACCATGCGGTGCGTATCAAAGTATCTAACTCATTAAGAAATTTCAAAACGACTCTGACAACTTTTTTTGTTATTTACCTAGGGACCTGGAACTGACATTAAGCGATTAAAGGAGACATTCTCTCACACACTTGGTCTTGTAAGTGTTGAAAACAAATATTAGATTACACATCTGGCTGATAATTGATGAGCATCCAGCTTTCAGAGTTGGTCAATAAGATGAAAGGCCGAGCTGGTCTCAATAACGTTCGCCAGTCACATAAGAACAAATTGACTCCAGCTTCTATGATGTGATTCTTGAACATGGCTGCATGTGAAGGTCTCTTAGGATCCAAACCTGACTCTACTGGAACAGATGGACCGATTTCAGACATCAATCTACTAGGTATTTCTAAGCTTCAAGAGGATTTTGTTAATAAGCGGCTGGAACACTTCCACTGGCCGCTCTCGTCAAACTACACACAAGACAAAGATGATGATAATCAGCAACCTGATCAACGCGAAGGCTTTGGAGACCTTGATGATGAATTCATTGCATGGGTTAGTGGGGAATAGGACGTACCTCTCTTGGTAAGCTTTCTCTCTTGCATCAAGTTTGCTTTTGGGCACCCTGTCAAACTTCATCCAATCTATACAACGCTGATTGTATTCATGTTTTCGACTTGCTGCCTCTTTATCCGCCTTCACTTGTTCTGATGTTCGTCGTGTTTTCTTTTGAACAGGACCAGCTGGAAATGTTGTTGATATGACATCAACTGAAGTAATGATTTTCAGTGCTTGCTGTTCCTCAGTTTTTTTAATTTCCTCTCTCATCCTTTCCATCTTCCTTGTGTAGTCAATTGCTGTATCTCGGGTCTTCCATTCTTGAATGTACTCAAAAACAGCATCCACACCACCCTCAATGATATCACCCCCCATAGTCTCTTCAATGTCTTCGGGAGAGTTCACATCATCAAGGTTTTCTACAATTTTCTTTGCTTGGTCCAGGCCGAAGTAATCTTCACTTTCACAATAGCCATCATCCCCAAAGAGTTCTTTGCAATGTAAATCAAATATGAACACCAACTCGTCTGTGAGCTCCTCTAAAGCTGGGTCTAGAGGTCCACGTCGCTTCCTAGGACCTTTCTTTTTGCTTGTAGGATTGCCAGTTTGAATCTCAGCCTGATCAGTCGGTTCATCATCAGGTCTGTGGAAGTGTTTAACATTGAAGACATCGGACATTGCGTCTATGTAATTTGACTCAGTCAATCTAGGTAATTTGACTCAGTCAATGTAGGTAAGTTGTGTATCAACATCACAGCTGCTTCAGGTTTACAATTGGAGCACTCGCATATGGGAAAACCATTTTCGAGCTCTCGTTGCTGTTCAGCTAAAACCCGTGGATCATTCTTTTGACATGGAATAACCCCAATCCTGTTGTTATTTGCCCCAAAATGACGGGTGTGAGTATCCCAGATAGGTGATCCATATTGAAGAATCAACAGCTTACGTGTTTCCAAGCAATAGTACCACTCGCAGGCATATTGTAGTGGAAGCAAATGTATTCATGAGCTCATCGTTGGTCACACAGGGGCAAAAGTAGATGCTCACATAGGTGTGAGCGTTGAAATTTTTGTGTTTCCTTCAATGTTTGTTCAATTTTGCTTTCCTTTTCTTTCCCTTTTCTTTCCCTTTTCTTTCCGATTTCTTTCTGCTTGTCATCTGATTATGTGATCAACAGGAACTGAGCAGACAAACTAAGCCTTCCTCAGGCTGTATTCCTGGGCAAAGAAGTCTGAGGAAGGGCTGATCCATCTGCTCAGTTTATCTCAGCTGCTCAGCTGATCCTGAGCGGCATTCCCTGTTTCAGTAGGCTCCAAGGGACACCACTTATGATTAGCTTAGGGGCTGAGCTGACCTGAGTATCCTCTTGACTAATTCTCCACAGTATCCCTTGGATGGATCACATAGGACCAGCCTCTCCTCAGGCTTCATGGCTCCAGAATGAAGCCTGATGCCCATCTGCTCAGTTGACCAATGCTGCTCAGCTATCCCTCAGTGGCATCCCTCAATCAGAAGGATCCAAAGGATTTCACTGCTCATTGGCTGAGGGGCTGCTCATCTAGTCCTCAGGGGCATTCCTGGGAGAAGGATCCAAAGGATGTGACTGAGTATTGGCTGAGGGGTTGCTCAGCTGCTCAGCTAGTCCTCAGGGGAATTCCTGGAATCAGAAGGATCCAAAGGATGTCACAGAGGACTAGCTGAGGGGCTGCTCAGTTGATCTCAGCCCCTCAGTGTGAGCAGCTTTATCCAGGGGACATCACTTAGGATTAGCTGAGCGGCTGAGATAAACTGAGCAGGGGGATGGCTCTTTTATGAGGTTTCATTCCTTAGCAAGGAAGTCTGGCCCATCAATGACCCAGCCAGGGGATGATACTGAGTATTTCCTGAGCATCTCAAATGGGACGGCCCCTGTGCAGGCCTTCACTAAGAAATGAAGCCTGAGGAAGGTGTAGTTCATGTGCTCATTGTGATTTTGACCAAATTGCGGAGTATTCAGTGACTCATGAGCTGATCCTGAGTACTCATCTGGACTCAGTTATTGCTCATCCAAGATGGAAATGAGCCTTCTCAAGAAATGTCAAGCAAAATGTGAGCAAAACAGGCTGATCAACTGAACACAGCCAAAATTGTGAATTGAATGAATCTGAAAGAAAATGAATCTTTTTTGGAGACTTCAAAAAAGTCTACAACACTCACATACATGTGAGCATCAATTTTGGCCCCTGTGTCATTTCTTTGGTGTCATTCGCATTGTCTAAATTTTTTGTATTCTTCTTTCGAGACTTCTCAACGAAGTGAATAGCTAGTCCCGGTCTATTACCTCGTCCACATTGGCCGAAAAGTTGAGCAAGTTCCGGCAGTCCGGTTTGTCCTACAACTACTACCTCCATAACTGACGGCCAATCTTGACCTAGACCCAGCGCATTGGTACATGAGATTATTGGAAATTCAGAATTAGTGTAACTATCAATTCCTCGAAGCTTCTCTTTTCGGCCAGTACATGAATGATACCTCCTAATAAGAGTACTATCTGGATCGCGCCAACCGTCTGGCGTTCCTCAAGCCTCATTGACTACTTTCATAACTTCCAACGTGGCATTTTGGGAATTTGAGTAGATTAAAGTTTTGACTAAATCCTTGTCAGGAATGACTTCTTTTTTAGCATAGATTGAAAGAAGATCCTTCGGTATTCGCATGCCTCGTTTCATTGGAACTTGGATGATTCTGATGTTAGAGCAACTGAGTTCTCCCCGTACAACCTTGATGTCACACTTTCGGATGCTCAAATTGTTTAGAATGGCCGAAAAGGGACCAGGCGCACACGTGGCTGACATCAAAAGCAGCGGGATTTTATTTGTAGCTAGCAGTCAAAGACAAAGATCACCATAAGACGGTCGAAATTGACCCCCGTCCTGTTGACGCATGAAAGCCATGCAATGTTTTGCTTGCCCATTTTGAACCATGCCCCACCAATAAATCATGTGAGCCTCGTCAATCACCTTTAGCACCAGCCGGTCTTGAAACCACTCGCTGAAATACACCACGAAGACGCTTTTGAGCGGAAGGACGTCGGGATTGTCCGAGATCGTATGCTTCCGTCGGCACCCCCGTTTGGGCTGTCCTCTGGATGTCAGTGCGTGCGGACGTCCGCAGCACACACTCAGGATGCCAGGCTGGGCCTACGTTTAAATAAGAACACCCTTGGAAGCCCGTGGGATGTCCCAAATTTTGATTCCGACCCGGGCTCCTTGGATCAGTTTCGTCAGGATATCCCTTCCCCTGCAAAAAATCCTGACGTCCCTAGGACATCAGCATGTCCTTGTGGTGTACACGCGCTCAAAAGCCTTGGTGTTCAAGAATATCTCCGGGCTCTTCGAAAAGTTACACAATTTGATTTTGACATCAGATCCGATTGTTCATAATCTTTCTATTATAAAGAATTCCTCACCGTGTATATCACACTGTAAAATCCGGCAGCAATCTCCTTTTCCACCTGCTCTGTGAAAGACTCTTTCGTGAGATTGACGGAATTGATCTTCCAGTTTTTCTTTTCGGCAACCTACATGATATGTACAATTATTTCTTTTGACCGAGAGAGACATAGGAAATAATGAGGTTTATTCACCTGATTGTCACCCAAGGCGTCTAAAGGATTGATCACAAGATATATTGCTTTCAAGTCTTTTGGAAATAGAGCCAGAAACATTTCTGCGATTTGTGTTTTTCCATAACCAGTACCCGCCAATACAAATGTATCATAACCCCTGACCAATGCCACCACAGCCTCGACTTGGAGTTTTTTAGCTGGACAATTGTATTTTGTCATGTGATTGTCTTCAATTAACTTCATCAATTCGATGTCGGTGAGAGCCATGATATGCTTTGGAAGCACTGCTTTTGCTTGCGTTTGTTTAGCAATGGTGGTTGCAGCTGCCGGCCCAATCGATTCCGTAGGTCGTCGATTGTTCTTCTGGATCATCCTAGGGGTTAGGGGACTGGCTTTTGAGCTTCAAAGTGACATTTTTCTTGGAGTATCACCCATGATAGTGTCGGTAAGATCCTGTAAGATCACGAGACTGAGGAAATGAGCAAAATTGAGGAAACGAGTTTGTCTTTCTCTTGTCCATCCTGCTCATCACTCTTTGTCTCATTTCTCATTTCTCTCTCTCTCACAACTCTCTCTCACATCTATCTCTCTCTCTCGTTTCTCGTTTTTCTCTCTCTCTCGTTTCTCATTTCTCTCTCTCTGTGTAGTCCAAAACGTTTTGGACACATCGGTCTCTCTGATAAACCGTCCGCAGTTGTACGATTGGTTTTCTCGAAAGTTACACTTTTTCCGTCGATCCTGAGGACAAGATATCATTTTGAAGTTCTTTCGTGTTTGAGGAAGCATGTGTACAAGATGTAGTTCAAACACTTGGCCTATTCAGAATGTGCATATAGTTGATGGTGGAACAGTTAATGTGAACTTTGATGAAAAATCGCTGAAAGTGCCGAATTCCAAATTGGTATCAAGCCAAAAATTCCAATAAGTCGTAAGTCCCTCCTCCGCAAGCTCCGGGGGACGCGCGCGGTTTGAAGGAGGTACTTAGTTAAGTTAGAGTATGTACTCGTCTATCCATTTAGACAACATTGCCTGCTTACTAACGTCTTGCAGGGGGGAGCATGTCCGTGTATACCCATGCAAATGGGACGTACTCAGGTCACGTTTGCCGCAAGTGAGCGCGTGGCTGAGTAAGCAAGGCGCTGGGGCTCGTTTCTGCTTTTACACGGATTTATCAGGTGGCTTGTAACTATTTGTAAATTGTGATGGCTAACAGCGGAAGTACGAAAGCCGGATCTACGCGAACATATAACGTTGCAATCAACCTGATCGACCATGAACGGTCTGTACACCCGTATCGCAAGCATAAAAAAATGTGTGTCACCTAAATGTTTGGTTATTCACAAGTACCCTGCGTCTCCGTCATCGAGATATCCGTGTGTTCTGCGTTTTGTGCAGCCTTTGATAGCTTGAGTATCATAGAACAATTCATTAGAAGATTATCACCGTATTTCATGCTAGTCATATCCGGCCGTGCGCCTGATCACTTTCAGATGCCATCGATTCGCAAAATCTCGGGTCATCAAATCGTCGAATTAGGAGGATGCTCAGGCTGCTAGAGAGAAGCATCCGAACACATCTACCGCCAATAGGGTAGCATCTGGTAGCATACTATATAAGCGGTCAAAGTAGCCGCGTGAAGTTCGAGCCATTCAACCCACTCTCTACCACTTCACACCCATCTCTACCACTTCACACCCATATCCGATTATTTGCCTCTTTAGCTATGGAGAACCCAGTTACCGATGTCAGTTTTGTCTATGGCCATATTCATCATCATCAAAGCTTCAGGATGATACACTGATACGCTAGAATCAACACCTTGGTAATAGATCGAAAATGTCATTAGATCCTTGACTGAGCCTAACAAAGCGTCTACCATGGGTATGAATGTCGAGAAGTCAGTTTTCTAAGCCCTATTCTAAACATCGCGATCTTTCTGAATGATATCGGACATCTATACCTTGTGGAGAAAATAGATACTTTACCGAGGATGCGGTGTTATATCACCCCTTTTTCAGGGTCACGGGCCGAGGGGGCATCAAGGGAATCTACAAGACACTGTAAGTTTCTCACCTTGCATCGATCTCAGTCATCAATATCATATCATCACCGATTTGACCGTGTTGTCTTACTCTATTCTACTCACAGTCGAATGGGAACGACTGACCAGAAAATTGAGTTTCACGCCGTGATGTTCAACGAAGATAAAACTCAAGTTACTGTCGGTATGTATGCTTGCTCTATTTCAACGGTTTTTATCTCCTTGTATACTAACCTGTTAAACGCTTAACTAACTCCCTAGATTTGACTGAACACATGAATGCTCGAGGTGTTCCGCAACAATCAGGACGTGTAGGACTTCGCTTGATCGTCCGTTTACACCTTATCCATGACACTGATGGAAAGTATAGAATTACTAAGTGAGTATTGGAAATGATACCAAACACAATCTGAGATGCCTTGGCCTCATGCAAATCGATTGTTTTGATTCGATATTTATCACACGCAGACAAGAGGACAACTTTTCATCTGACTCAGCAGCGATTGGCCTACCTGTTATGCCAGGATTGTCCTCCATGGTAAAAGTGATGAAAATGCTCTCTGGGTTGTATATCGGTGGTTTAGGAAACTTTTTTCTTTCTAGAGGATGGTTCGGTCAATGATGTTCTTCTTTTGAGGACTGCATCTTGCTCTTGTCTTTGTTCTTGTTTTCACATCATTCGTTTACTTATTTAGGTCGTGTATCTTTTTATATTATTTATTAAAGAGGGTTTTCCTTTTTTTTTTGCAATTACTGTCTTTTGAAACTGCTAGCTTGAGTCAATTTATTGATGAATGATACAGTCAAACCAGAAAAGCTTGTCACAAATTCCCCGCCAAATTGCTCGAGTTTTGCGGGCAAAATCGGTCAAGCTTTTCCGATTTGACCGTACTATTTGAGAAGTGTCATGTAAACAAGGGCTGATCTGTATGAATCTTCAATCAAGCGGTCAATCATGAGGTATGTTGACAACGATTTTCTTTTGATAGAAGCGATTCTATTGAAGTTGCTTACATATTCATATGGCTATGTTGATGATGATAGAGATTGAAATCTTTTGATCAATGAGATCATAAAGGTGCTGTGACTGAATTGATGATCTGCTTTGTAAGATCATCACAGAACCTTTGATTCAATATCAGATAAGGTCATGATTCAATGTCAGATACGGTCAAATTGTGAAATCAGATGGCACAGTAAGATGATCGTAAAATAAAACTCTTGTTGAAGAAACAAAGATAGACATCAGATTCAAGAAAAGAAAGATGAATCTGATTGGATTGGATTGGATTAATTACCAAAACTCAACATCTGAACCGGTTCTTTTGTTCTTTCTCAAAGCCAGCCTTCACCATCTCACTACACTCATCCATATGACTCATTCGTCAATCGATCATGAATTCATGATCAGAAGATTAAAACTACTTTCAATTAAGAGCTCAGGTCTTAACTCAAACCTCAATTGGTAATCAAATTCTCTTTATCCTTCCAGCCATCATCGTTTATCCACCGCGCATCACCCCGTTGAAAATGAAACGGGACAAGAGATAGACAGAACTCCAACGATTAATGATGCGTTAAAACCATTTTGAAGAAAGATGGCAGCGGTTGAATGGCAAAAAGGTAAAGACAAACACAGACTTTTGTTTGATTCCCACAGCTTTTTCCGTTATAAAGAGACGTCTGAGAGCTTTGAAAGTTTAATTTCCTTCATTCCTTACATAAAACGTCACTTTAGATTTAGATCCTGTATCACTCACACACCAGACCAGTTGGCACTCCAGTGACCAATTCTAACGCACTCCAAACGCCAACAAAAAGCCACTCATCTTTATCACTTGGCTTTAACTTTAGCCCAACTCTTTCGTCCACTCAAGACCGTCGCAACGACTTTCATTCTTTAAGATTCACCTGAATTCTTTCATCCACACGGTCATCCTTAATCAACTCAATTCAAATCATCCTACAAGGTAAAGGACCCTTTTCCTAACCATTCAATCTCGCTCACTTTCCTTTTTCAAAAAGGGAATTTAGCCCAATACCACTTAGCACACATAGCCAAATCTTTTCCTACTACCTTTTCCACCTGTACCTTTTTGTTCTTATTTGCCCAGTTTAGATTGCTGATTGAAATCTTCCTTTCTCAAATCTTTCGTCTGTTTTTTTTAATCATCATCGTACGACCTATCTCATTGGATATCACTCTACCGCCCTACTGTCTGCTTATCATTAATCAATCTTAACATCATACTTAAATTAATAAATTTGGTAAGCCCACATTATCTCCCTTCCTGCTCATCGAACGTATCAAATTAACTTTTATCATTCTTTGTTTTTTTCAGCATAATAGCTCCAGAAATCTTTAAGATGTCTATCTCAACTTCTCGATTACTCGCTTTTTTGAGCATCATCACTCTTACTTTGGCTCAATCTCAAGATACTGGTGGTGATGTACCTTTGTACACCAAGAAATTCACTTGGCCAAATTTACCTCAACAAGCTGATACGGGAAACGGTCCCAGAGGTACTCAACAAGGTTCGTCGAATTCATGAAATTTCCTCATCCTAATTTCTACTCTTGACTAATTTTTCTTTTTGGGATTCGTAATCCTCTAGGTTATAATCGTTGTAATTCTACTACTCAAAACCAGAATTCAATGTGTCAAACCTCTTTCCTTAATTCGATCAATGATAAGTCTTCTTCTCCAACTCCTCAAAAACTCATTCATCACTTCGTCTTTGTATGTATGAATCCATCCTAATTTCGGTTCTCTTGTTTCGTCGCGTGTGATTACAGTTCTGTCTTTGGGGTGCCCCTCAACCAAATACAGTTGTTGGTGATGTAGAAGGTGAAATGGTAGCTTATTGTACTACTAAGAAGTTCGGTACTCGTTTAATTCAAGGTGGAGCACTTCAAGGAGTTCAATTGTTGAGTTTCGATCATTTAATATCACTCCATCCTATCAAATCTCACTAATTAATGATGAACTGTGATTTCAGAATCCGAACACCTGGTTACATTGAAGTTATCGGATTCATTGATCAAACTGCATTAAACTTACAAGCCAATGATACAGGTGGAGAAGAAGATCCTCATGGAGCCGATCAAAGAGGTAATCCATTAGGCGGCTTAATGTATTCAGATGCTTTCAACACTCCAGGTGGTCCAGCTTATACTCAAGTAATTGAATGGAGTTATTTCATTGGAAGTGGAATTTTCTGTTACAAAGCTTGTGATCCTGCTGGTCCTAATGCCGCTCAACTCTGCCAACGTACAAAACATTTCTTTACCTGTCTCTCTTTTTTTGAAAGAAATCATACTGATTGTTTTGTTTGATTCGTTTAGATGTTTATGACCGAATTGGATGTCGATACAATGCCCCAGCTAATTACCCTGCCATCAATGGCACTTTCCAATCTTGTAAAGGTGATAACCAACTCCCGGCTGGTATTTATGTAGACGGACCTACAACGAAAACCTTTGTTCAACCCCCAGAATCACTCGGACCAATTGCGTAAGTTCTACATTACTTCAATAACCCTCAACTTTGATTACTGAGATTTGTTTTTTATAGTACGATTCCTTATACACCAGTGATCCCAGCCACATCCGAATGTACTACATACACCTCAGCAGCACTCTACACAGATTTGCCTGCACCACCTATCAACACAGCTACCTTGGCCGTTCCTACTGGTACTTCTAAACCTTCCGATACGAATAACGGAAACAGTATGCCAGCAGCTACCGGTACATCTGGTCGAAATGCAGCTTCATCTGATGCTTCTTCTTTAGAACTTCATGGGGTCTTCATGGCTCTTTCGGCTGTTGTTGCTATTGGATTCGGAATCAGTTTAGTTTAAAGTTGAATTAAACTAATCATTGAACCTTATCATCCTTTCTATCTTTTATTTCCTTTTCTTTTTCATACACATTCTCATCACACCTCATCATTCATGCTGTTCTTTTGTTTTGTTTTTTTGGGATTTTTTTTCGTTTTGCTTCGTGTTGTTTATTACTTTATTATATGACATATCTAAACCCGACTTTCACTTTGATCTTTAATCATGATCTACACTTTTTCCCTTCACCTCCCTATCTCCTTTTTGTTTTCATTGATGAGTTGTTTTTCAGATCGACTCTTTTTCCCCTAGTTTTCACAACTTGTTGATATATTTTTACCTCTTGAATGGTTTTGTGTGTGTGTGTGTTGTGTGTGTGGTTTGTGCGACTTTAATATTTTTTTACCAGCCAATCATATTGAATTCTTATCATTGTTTTGATTGTTTGGTCTTCCTTTAACCGATTTACTTCTTTCGTGTGGTTTTTGGTTTTGGTTTTTAAGAATGATGTAATGAATCATTTAACATTTACTTTGAAATTAATGTAATTTTTTTTCAAAACCTTGGAGAACAGGTGGATCTGCCTGCACCAGGGAACTGGACAACTGCCTGCCTTAACTTTTAAACTTGAATTTTATTAGTTGACTCGTGTTGAAGGAGCACTGAGGTAGAGGCACAAGCCAATTCTCCATGCAAATTAAAGTCCCTTATATTCCTAGACTACAATTGTTATTGAACAACAAACAATCCTTTTTGTGTTAGTCATGGGTACTATCAAGCCTTCTTATGTTTAACCTCGCCTTCTTTACAACGTCCAGAGCAATTAAATGTGAAAGACTTTTTCTCTTTGTTAAGACCCAATTGGGCAATTGGAATGATTCAATATTGAACATTCAAGCACAAAGCTGTCCTATGAGTCAACAAGCAAAAGAACCTATCCTAAATCTACTCAGATTTTTACCTTTTATTGTGGCCAATTTCACATCTGCTAATAAAATTCATAACATTTAGAAATCACTGAAACCTTGCCTATAGGTTGGTAAAATAATTGACCATACCCTCTACTTATTTGACTGACATTTCTTTTGAGTACAAACAGCTCACCCCTTCCATGGTGTAAGTTAGTCAGCAATTCCAAATCAGGCATAGTTCTTCTGATAGATTATCATTGCTAAAGACAATTTCTCATCATCTTGGCCTTTGATTGCTTGATTTCACCAGAACTTCACATATGACATATTTTAATATGTAATGATGAAGTCTAGATGAGAAGTCCAATTTTCCCTTGATTTGTTGATTCTAGGAAGAATATGAATAAATTGATAGCAAAAAGTTTTGGAAATTACTATTTACCCTGCATATGAGTAAATTGGTGCATAATTGGTGCCCTAGATTTCATCATGATTTGCCTCACAGGTCAAATTAAAGCTGGAAGAAAATCCAACTTTTGTATATAATCACCAATCACATTTAAAAATACTACCCATAGACTTAAAGGGTGTAGGGGACAGAAATGTAGAGAAGTGTATTGCAAAGTGGAATATAAAATTTGTTTTGTATGTATCTTAATAAACATTTAAGATATCCAAGATCACAATCTTAACTATAGCACAAAAATTATTGCCGTCAACAAACTGCTTTGTGGTCATTCAATCGATGAAATCAATGATGAACTCATCACCAAAATTTGTCCATGTTCTTTCTCATGATGGAAGTCACTCTACAAACGTACCGACACTGTAGTCAGAGACCCGGATACCTAAGAGAAACAAGGCCGTCACACCATCTATTTGGCCAAAGATTGTGAATTCATGGTTGAGCTCATCAACGACAATCCAACTTTGTTCTTCGACAAGATCCAGTCGATGATGTACAATCATACCAATACCCCTGCATCTTTACAGACCATTGCAAATGACTTGAAAGAAAGGCACTGTCTTACAGTTCATAAAGCTTCAAAGGTTGATCCCAATCAATCACCTGAACTTCAATCTGATTATTCAATCTGGCTTGCCAATATCCCAAACAAATGTCTTGTTTTCATGGGTAAGCTCGATTTATTTTTTCTGTCTTTGATAACTGACTCAATAACTGACTTGTAGCATGTCTATTGGATTAATTAGACAAGACCGGGCTCCGAACATTAGATGTGATGCGCTCAAAGGTTTGATCCAAGCAAGGCAAACATCTACCAAAATTGGAATGAAAGCGACTTGGACCTCACTACAGCATGCTTGCGGCTGTATGCAAGATGGGATTATTGGCATCCCATTCGCAAGTTGGTGCCTATCTTCAAGTTGACTTTGAAGCTTTCTTGAAACACCTTCTGGTAAGTCTTTCATCTTTCTTCTGGTCTATAATCAATCAAGCTGATTGATTCAACAACTCCAGCTTCCTGTGATGAACCTGTATCCAGCTTGTAATTCAGTCTTGGTGTTGGACAACACCACCATTCATCGCGGTGGAGCAATCGAAGAGATGTGGAAAGAGATGGGGATTCTCATATGCTATCTACCACCGGTTTTGCCGGATTTCAACCACATCAAGCGGATCTTCAACGTATTTAAAGATAGACTTAGGAGGAACCAATGTTGGATAACACTGTTGATGAGCTGGGTTGTATGCAAGTGGTGATGAGTGAGGTTTGTACCAGCTCATTGATAATGAGTCTTTACAAGACTTATGGATATTTCAATACCGGGTAAATTTTGAAGCACTTGTTGTATGGTTACAGTTAATGTTTTAAATCCTCAATAAAAGTCCCACAGTTTGTTTCAAAAAAAACTTCTTTATCTGTGTGGAAGAAATGAAAAAGGGCTCTCATACCCATTCATTGTTTTTTTTGTATTGCCCAAGTTTCTGTGAGAGACTTGTTGATTCAAGAGTTTCTTCTCATGGATCAAGTTTGGTTCTTTGAATACCATCTGAGCAATCAAAGAAACCGCACATCTCAGAAGTCAAAAGATATTGAATTCTGCAAATGAACCTGACTTTTATTTTTGACTTTCACTACACCAAACCAATAATATACCAGGAAGTTTAGAAAAGTCAAGATGTAGAAAATACTCAGCAATGCATGAGAGGTAGGAGAAATTCAAAGAATATATGGTTGAATCAGTCTTTTATTTCCCATAATTTTTCATATTTTTTCATATTTTTACCTTGAGTTTTGAAGATGTTACGTAGAAAAATGATTCTGGGGTGTATTTGGTCAGAAACTCAAATTTTGTCCAAAACTACCCAGGCTTGGGCAGAAACTTTTCAACAATCACGAATACAACAATTTTCTTTCAATTAAACTGGCAGTTGCACATTATGAAAGCCACATACTGGATCTACAGTTTCCATTTGGATGCTAAAACCCTTGTGGAACAGATTTATAAGCTTTTCTAGCTTTACTGTTGGGGATGGTGATTGCTGTACCTTCTTCATTTTTGGACACACACCACTCATTCTAATGTGTATCTGGTAAGTTAAACATGCATATTTCAGAATGGGCTGACATTCCAGATGTTGACACAAAATTGACAATTTTATTGGTCTCGCAAGGTTAATGCCTCCATGACTGCCAGCTTTGGACATAAACTGAGTTTCTGACCTGATATACACTGCTGCCGTAAAAATCTTTAAAAATATGCAAGATGATGGGCACACACAGGGGAATACAACCCATATTTTTCCATATTTTTTTGACCTGTTCTGCCTTGTGTATAATTTTCTATGTCTTTTTAATTTTCTAAACTCGGCGGTAAATTTGCAATCTGGCATAGTGTTTGATTAATTCATGGATCAAATCAAGGATTCAGAGAGCACTAGCCAATTTGATTTCTCATTTTAATTGTATAAACTCTCACTTGGGGCAAATTCTTGATGAATACATCACAAAATCATAATTTTTAATTACAGCAGTACATATAACCAGTCATACAGTTGTTTGGGGGGGTTAATAATGAACACAACAATAATTTGTTGAGCTACAAGGATAAGTAATGTTTACAAGACTAGTTACCAATTGCATAATCTTTCATTTATCTTTTATTTTGTCAAGATAGGCCATTTGCATCGCCTTGAACTCCTTGAGGTCAGTTTGATATGATGGTGCACTATCATGTAGACAGACCGCAGTTCCAAATGCAAATTCCAACCTCTCAAGGGTAGGAACATCCAATGAGGGAGAGAGGAATGCTTTGAGGTCAACAATGTCGCATTTGGTGAGAAGGTCTTGGGGCGCTTGATCATTGAGCAAAATCTTAGCCCATTTGAGATAATCTTCAAACTCAGGCCAATTGTCAGGAATCTGTGAGGTTGATTGAACTGTGTCAGCAGTGTATTCCAATCGTTGACCGGGTTTAGGGTGGATTGGAATCCATTGAAATTCAGTTCGTCCAGTGGGTGGTAGGAACTCAGTAGCACAGTGCTTATGCATCGCCTAAAAAAGTGGAAATGGTTGATTAGAAAACTGATGAGGAGAATGATAAGAATGAAAAGAAAGACTCACCCCGTCTTGAGCCCAAGTGTCCAACATTGCATGGCTCAAGTATACCACTTCCTTATTATTTGCTGGATTGATGCATCCTATGCATTCTCTACCTCCGATCAAAACATACCCAAATCGTCTCATGAGCCCCACTCTGGCTTTTTGCCAGTCTGGTTGAACATTGATTCCCTGCAACAAAGCAGTAATCAATATAGATATTGATTGAAAACAAAATGAAATGAGCACTTACCAGCATTTCTAACTTGTTGACTTGGGCTGGAGCCAATGAGTTTGGATGGTTCTTGCTAGTCAATCAATCAAACTCGTCCTCCTTCTCAATCCATCAGAAAACATGAGCAATCAAACAATAGAAAGAAATGATAGAAATGAAATCAAAAGAAAAAGAACTCATTTCTTATTTCAAATGTCTGACCGTCTTTGGGTTGTCCATGTAAAGACAAAAACCCACCTCATGATCTTGACTTTTGATCATTGCTGCATTAAACTTATCCAGGATGGCCTTGGTTGCAATAGTCTTCATAGCAGATTTAAGAAAGTCTCCATGTCCGGCGACGTAACCTTTGAATTGAACATGGCCTTCTTCAAATAATTCCTTGAGAATTGTTCCACAAACCACCTTGTGAGCATCACAAGACAAACCACCTTGTGAGCATCACAAGCGTCAAAGATTGGAGCATCACAAGACAAACCACCTTGTGAGCATCACTAGGCAAACCACATTGTGAGCATCACAAGACAAACCACCTTGTGAGCATCACAAGCGTCAAAGATTGAATCCCAAACACTGATAAGGTGAGCACCGTGCACCTGGATTGTGGCATTGAAGGGTTCTGTGGTGGTATAGTCACTGTACTTCTGGGTGGCTCCAGATTGGGTCTCCGCCTTGGTCTTCGGAATTGGACTGAAAACATGAAACCAGATCTTGACGTGACTTGATTTGGCCTTGAACTCCACACCAGGTGCAGGTTGAACCAAGTAGGCGGGTGCTGGGGGTTGTGGTGATTGAGTCAAATCAATATCAACATGGGATCCTGAATAAAAAAATGATCACTTACAGTCAATCTGAATGTGGTAGGGATAGATCAATTGGACTGACTCTGAGAAGCTTGGATATCATTCTTTGGCATGTTGAACATTGGGTCTCAGTGACCATGTTCAACTTGTATAGCCTCTTGATCCGGTTGTGGGGCTAGAAAAAATTGAGTGATTTGGAAAAGAAAAAAAGAAAACAAAAAGAATGAAAAAGGGAAAGAAAGGATAGGGAGAAGACGAGCTGTAAGGAAAGAACTTGCTGTTGTTGGTTTTGGGATGGAGTTGACAACAGAATTCTCAGGATCCTTGTTGAGAAAATGGGTCTATATGAAAGACCTCTGTGTTGAGATATTGACGTCTTCCAGTGGAAAAAAAATCCCAATTATGTCTGTCTCTAAAATACAAATCAAAGGTAATCAGTGATTGAAATGATTTCAAGAAGGAAATTTAAAAAGAACTCACTTGTTGAAGAGGCAAGGGCTTCCACCTCTTCCAAGATCAGGACTAAGGCCTTCTGGCCCAGCCACTTGATCTTGTCGGGCTTGACTAAAGAAAACAGCAAAATCAGTAAAAATGATCAAAAGAAATGAAATGATTGAAAGGAATGGTCAACAAGAAATGGTCAAAAGAAATGGTCAACAAGAAACTTACTAATCTTTCTTTGCTTGTGCCGCGTTGTCTGCACGTTGTTTTTTAGTGGTCCTCGTGGGCATTGTGGTATCAGTGGTAATAAGGATATGTGGATATGGGTGAAGTGGTGGGATCAAAGGTTATGGAATACTGAAACGGTCAACAGCTTCAGTCGAGATATCCCAATCTTGATTGAAGGCTATGCTTATAAAGTAGCCTGTATTGGCCAAATTTCATTCATTAAATTTTGGAGTGACAACAGAATTTGGAACAACTGTACGACTTCCAATATCACAAGTTGTCCTTTATGTCATCTCAAATAATCCGTTTTCCTGGAGACTTCCACCTTGCAACAAAACTGACACTTTCCACAAGGTAACACTTTAATTGAGGTAAAACAGTTTCAAGTGACTGAGCTTTCCATTGAATTTTTGCAACTCTTTCTTTGTGCAAGATACTTTTTCTAGAAACTGGTCTACTTCAAATTTCCTCTTTGTCAACTTCTTTTCTGGTAGGTGTACAGTTTTGTTAACCCAATTCCACACAAAGCCTATGAATTTTTGTTTGTTGGCAAATTTGGTGTATTTTGTCACGTTTGTTTTCACTCCTAATGCTTCACTTGCTTTGACAATTTGTAACATGGTTGTCCAATCTGACTTCTTGTTGATCATCAAGTTATTGTCCACCCATTGAAAGGCTTCCAATAACTTGAACATCACTTTCATTAAGTCCTTCCAACCGTCTGCTGGACCTCTGAAGGCTCCACATCCGCCAACTCCTCCAAATGCAATCATAACATCTATTAAAAAATTTCATTGAAATCCTTGATTGCCAAATAGGGCCATTGCAATGGATGAGTTGGAATCTGCCTGTAGGCACCCTCCCAATTGAAGATTCCCATTTTAACGTCTTCTTTCAGCCTTCTTATAAATAAAGCTACAACTTTAAAGCCGTCCCAGGGTGTTTCAAATCCTTCTTTGTTCAAATAGGAATTAACGGACCTTATTTCTTCATCAAACCTAGGGTACTACATATCATTTATAGCACAAAAGGTTCCATCACCATTCTCCACAGCACCTAAAGGACTTGTCCTAAAGAATCCTATATTTCTGTAAACTTCTTCTTTCTCATAAGGACCATACATCCTACCTGCCATAATCTCTTTATTTATGTGTCTTTCTATTTTATTGTGTGCATTACTTGCTGAGTTATGATTAGGTGGACAATACCATTTGTAGTCTTTTACAACATGGCTTGGGACACCCTGATGAAACCCAAATTTGAATCCTTCTAGTAAGTAACTGTACTGTTTGAATAAGTTATACTTTTTCAATTGATATTCCCATTCTTCAATCTTCATGTCACATTTCACTGATGTTGGCCAATTTAATGTACCTATTGTATCTTTATTCACAAATTCTACTTCATTACCAACACTGTCTCTAAATGACACTCGGTACTCTTCATTATCAAATTGGTACATCAGGTCATTGATTTCAATTTCATTGTTATCAATATCACTAACGGAATTTGATTGCATAAAGAAATAAAACAAGTACATACATAAACCAAGTACATATGTTATATAAACAACAAACATAACTGATTACATAACACAAAGAAACACAATTTAACACATCATAAAACATCAACTCACAAGATTCTCTCTTTCAATGTTGATTGTTTTGGGGGATCATCTTCTTTTCTAAATGACACAGACTGATTCCTAGTTTTTGAGTGTTTGATCCAAATTAGTTAAGTTCTTATTTGCAGTTGTAAGTCCTTGCTTACACCTGTTTTCCTTTCCCTTTCATATCATAATTGTTCTTTCCTTTGTCAAACCTTTGATAAGGACCTGGTGATATGTCTTTTCTAAAATTTCTTCCCCTGTTATTCTTCCTATTATTTTGAAAGTTTTTGTTTTTGAAGTTATTATGAAAGTTGACATTCTTGAAATTATTATTTCTGCTAAAACTGTCATTTCTATCAAAGGTTGGTGGTCTCAGTTGATTATTATCTTGATCTTCAGATAGGTCTGCGTCAATTGAATCATGATTTACACCATACGTGTATCTATCCCCCGTTATAGGGTTAAATCGTTCTCTGATGTTGTCCCGTGCGTAAGCTAAATTCAATTCATGATTAATAATCAAATGACTTATTATTAATTCTTATTCAACCGACTCACAATTGCCTAACAATGTTATCCTACCATCTTGCAAATCAAACAGTTGATTCCCATCTTTGTGCCTTTCTCTGCTTTTGCCATCTCATTTGCCTCTTGTTCTCCCGCCTCATAGGTGAGCTGTTCCGCGTGGAAGATTCTCTTTTTTCAAATACAAGATGCGTACTAATAGAAGAAACAGAAACCTCAAGCCAGAATTTACACCAGTTCCTACAGACGTGTGGGTTAGATGGTGATGGTGTGGGTGATGGTGTGGTGAGGATCAGTGATATCTTGTAGAGGTCCGTGAGATGTTCTTGGGATAGATGAGGGTTGGTGAGGTGAGAAAAAAAATGGGAGGTGAGAGAGAGGTGAGATGGGAGGTGATATGGATGTGAGAGAGCAGTGAGAAGGGAGGTGAGAAAGCGGTGAGAGGGTGGTGAGAAAGCGTTGAGCAGGGGAGGTGAGATGGTAATGAGGTGGTGGGGGTGGGGTGTGTGGGGGTATGCAGATTTTGTACAAAGAATTCTGAGGTGACCCAAGATGTATCTTTACATCTGACTACATCTAGATGTCCAATACGGAGTACGTTGGACAGTACAATGACCTGTACTGTCCAATATACTAAGTACATTTCAATACGTACAGGTGCATACAAGTACAAATATCCTTGTCATTGTGTTCTCAAGAATTTGAGTCAACCAGGCTGATTCAGGTGCTGAGCACCTGGCTGACAGGTCCCGCTCACACACATCAGCTCACCCACTAATAGGCTGGTACATCACATCAGTGTAACAAGAACTTTCTCTCACCAGTGAGCTCACGTGTTGAACGGGTAACAAGCTTGTGTGAGGGCCACATAGCCGCGGTCACACTGCTGCCACCTGTTCTAAACAACTACTTGGTGTGGCCACACCTAACTTACATTTCATGTGGTCCCAGTTCAAAGTCTCCCTGTGGTGTATAAAGATACAGGTGGTCACAAAAGACTTTTATATTATGAGATTGTTATCATTGCTTTCAGAAAGCTATTGGCCTCTCAAAAGTTATTGGCCAGGCAGCTGGCAATTAAACTCTTGCAGAGCCTGATCAGAAAAGATTCCTGAAGGGTGGCATTGAACATAGCCATAGTGTAGTAACATTGCTCAGAATGAGTTCCTTGAGTTGCCATTGGAATACAAGAGGTACTACATTGGTACTTTTTTAGATGGGTACCATTGATAGGGGCTTTCCGGGGTCCTGGTTGTGCCTGATATTTGTTATGGGGAATGGAATGTTGTGATGGATGGATGGCTTTCTGATGAATTGTGACCCTCAGGCTAGTTCACAAGAGCAAGATAACTCTGAGCTGTTTGAAATGACTCAAAACACATGGCAGGTGAGGAGGAATGTGAGATTTTGCAGGTGCT